ACCCCATCTAGTCACTCAGAAAAAATCAGGACATTCTGATGTAGAGTTTCAAAATAAAAGACCTTTGAAGTCTCATATATGAGCTATCATCCCTGTCCCCAAAGGTCTTTTATTTTGAAACTGTACATCAGAATGTCCTGATTTTTTCATTTTATACATTTTACTGATACCAATTGTATGATATTTACCTTGTTCATTAAAAATAAAAAATATAAAATATATATATTTTTTTTAATATATTTTTTTTAATTTAATATTTTTTTAAATATTTTTTTTTGTATGTGGGAAGAGGTGGGGCGGCGCCCCTAGCGCCCCTATGGGCCGGCCGCCACTGCTCAGGATGTCATTGATATATCTAAACTGTAGCTATGTTGACAATAAAAGCCTTGAAACGTGAAACATTTATATCCAATCTAATATTTAATATTCCATTCCTCACATACTTATGTATCTATAATATCCTGCTTTATATTGTGTCACTATACATTTGTAATTCAACATGTACTGTATATTTTGAACTTCTTTGTAATGCTATTTTGCTAATTCTGTTGAGATGTCGACATTATGGAATGTTCTTGTCTTTTAATTTGTATTGTTCAATCCCATGTCTTTTTATTCCGTAAAGATGCATAAAGCCAGAGGTGGAAGAAGTACAAGTTATGTCCATTCTTAAGTGAAAGTCCATAGGTGTCAAAATATATTTAAAATTATACTTAAACTTTATACTTAAAGTGCTAAAAGTACCCATTAAGGTTCCAAATAAAAATAGTTATCGAAGAACTCTATTGAGATAAGTAAAAGTAGCTAAAGTAAACTGTAAAAATATGCTAACCAATCAGAACAGACTGGGCTAAAACTATACAAATGTTACAGTTGTACAATTTGGGGGTTTTAAAAAAACAAAAAAGGAGAGCAAGAGAAGGTATTTGTAAGCTGTGCGATAAAAATACATTTGAAATCCACAAAGATCAATCAACTAAGATATTTATAACTAAGTGTGTCTCTATTCTCAGCTTTTTTTTGGACAGTTTTTTAATGTATGGTTGTTTTTGGTCATTAAAAGAAAAGCATATTTAAGCTCACCTCGAAGTTTAGATCCTTCAGGAAGGATTTCTCTGGGTTGGGAATAGGCGGACCTTTGATTTTCTTCACAACCCTATAAATCACAAAGACATGAGCAAGGTTAGAACAAATATAGCTTATTGCTCTTGAACAACATTTGGTTAAGGTCTTGTAAAAGTACTGTGTTGTTGCTTACCAGGTGGTTTTGTCAGTCTTAAATAGTACGATAACCATAAACACTGCAAACGCTGCTGCAAAAAGGCCCAAAACACGCCAAGCAAGATCTGACAAACACAGGAAAGAGAATATACCGTTAGCATATTGAGCTAGCATACACCGTTAGCATATACCGTTAGCATACAGAGCAGTAATACATCGTTAGCATTTTGTTCCTTATCAGGTCAGCATTAACTAATAGCATATTATGTTAACATATACGTTAGCATATCATGTTAGCATAACACATTAGCATACTGTAGATAGATAGATATATAGATATATAGATAGATGGATAGATACAGATAGATATAGAAATCTTGTTGCAGAAGTGTGTTTAGACATTAAAATACAATACTTGAAAAAGTGGAAAAGAGAATCAACAATTACAAATACAATGAAAAACTGTATAATTATATCACATATAACCAATATATACAAAACAATATAAAATATTCTGGATTATTAAAATAAAAAGTCAAAAATAATACAGAAAAAAATTTGAAGTAAAAAATACAGGAAATACTTTATCCAACTGTAAAGGCTTATTTGGCTTGGCTTGATCCTGATTCACATGACCTGTATAGCTGTTCAATCAAACTATAACATGTTTCCATGTGATATGTTATAAAAACATTAACAACAAAAAATTATTAACAAAGAAAAAGTTTTGTTTGTCCGACTTCTTTCCTTAATTCTCAGGAATTCAAATACAGGAAGAGAACATACCACACTATTTTTCTAATGATCATTAATTAGAATAAGAAATAGGAATAAAGATCCCACAACTTAGTATTTAAAATGTTTACATTGACATTCATAAACTAAATCAATCTATGTTGATATTTGAACATCTTTACCTGATGGTGGTTGGGGTTGTTCCGTTCTTCCAACGGTGGATACCCATGATGCAGTGGGGCTCCAGTCACTCCAGGTAGACCTGTGATTTTTCTCTTCGGACTTCACTCGAACGCGTGCCTCGTACCTCTTGCCTCGAATCAGCCAATCATCGTCAAGCTTTTCAGCGCACTCCGATTGTTCCCACTTCCATGAATAAGTATTTGTGTTTTTCTGCACAGACGGATCCTGACGGAGAAGAAATGAGTGGATGTTCAGTAAGCTGATGTTCATGTAGTGTTTCTTGATATCCTACAAAATGTGTTCAAGTTATGAAACAATCTAAAGAACTGTCCAGAACTAAAGGCTGTGATTCACCAAAACAACATCAATGAACTAGTTTTGACAGTAAACATGTGTCGTCTTAAGATTCCTGTGTTTTGGCAAAAAAGTCGCACATGACAAACGACAACCAACAGCCATGTCACGTATGTTCTGCAACTGCTAAGACCAAATAACTCTTCTAACCAGCAGGCAGTGCTAGTCTGAGTTTCAAACATAAACATACGTAAGGTTAGTCGTACATTAAACTCCTCAATGTGTCTGATGTGCTTTCCTACAGTGGAACGAGAATGAGAAGACACTTAGCTGCTAACGAGCTAGTTAGCTAGCTAGTTTGCTTATTCCTTCATACTTTTATCCTACACTGGTTACAGGAAATGAGCAAAACAGCGGGGAGCCGACCAGCGGACGGTCTGGGTTTCAACTATCATTTTCTAATGAGGCGGCGAGTGTTAGATAGCTAATTATTGTCTCATTTGTTGGCTGATACATTTTAAGTTCACCAAAGTCAGCGGTAGCACCACTGGCTACTAGTTCACCAGAACTAGTTTAGTTTCTTTAAACAAATGCAAATACACAATAAAGTTTTTTGGGTTTGACGCATGTTCACAATAGAAATAAAACGCACCTTAGTTCACTCAAAGCAATCTGAGACTTGGATCCCGCCAAGGGGTTAAACCAGGGTTCAACCAGACTATCAAGGTTGGTGTGAACGCGACATTATGCCTAAAAAATGACACAATTATTCATGCATTAAAATACTAACACAGTAACAAAATATATACACACACTCCATGACTGCTTCTCTTGTTTCCACTGCAACTGGCACTTGAACTGTTTGATTTTGTTCTGTCTCTTTAACTTGGGGGTGCCAGGAAATGGTGGTGAAGTTGATGTGAGGTTGTTGTGGAGGGTTCAGCTTTACTGCAGAATCAAACACACACAGAGTTTGTTTTAGGTCATCATGAATAGCTCACAAATTGAATCACATACTGTAAGGTGATATATTATTCATTGTACTCACTGTGATGCGCTGGCTGGAAGCACATGGTCACGTTGGCCGGCCCAGGATTACAGGTCAGATTCATGGAGAAGATATTGTGAACTTGAAACTGAGAAAATGTAAGAAAATAATATTGATTAAAAAAAAACATTCATAGGACAACAATACAACATGAGATGAGAGTAGGTGTTCGTAGGTGATGTTTTTGTAAAGGTGAGAGTGTGATTAAAAGCTCAAGCTAATAGTCTTTAATGTAGATATTATTGCTGTATCAAGAGTTAGATAAGAAGATTAATACAACTCTTATATTTGTACTCTAAATGTTATTTAACAACTAGTAGCCTTAGCTTAGTTAGCTTAGCTTAGCACAAATACTGAGAATAGCTATCTGCTTGCCCCTTAAATGGTCACCAATAAAGATTAGGAAACATAAAAAGCAGGATTTGGTTGAAAATGTAATCCAGATTGGTTCATTTCAAACATTCTGTGGTCTGCTCTTTTTGGCAAACAGACCGTAGCTAAGAATAGCAGACCGTTGCTAAGAATAGCAGACCGTCGCTAAGAATAGCAGAACGTTGCTAAGGATGGCACACTGTTGCTAGGGATAGCGGACCGTTGCTAAGGATGGCACACTGTTGCTAAGCATAGCAGACGGTTACTAAGGATAGCAGACCGTTACTAAGGAGATAGGAGATAGCATGGTTTCTCATACCACTGCTACACTGACGACACCCAATTAATTCTGTCCTTTCCCCGCTCAGAGACCCAGGTCGTCGCACGCATCTCAGACATCTCTAGGTGGATGTCTGCTCATCACCTCAAGCTCAACCTTGACAAGACTGAACTGCTTTTCCTTCCGGGAAAAGATTGTCCCACTCTTGACCTAACAATCAACATCGGCACCTCTGTTGTTTCCCCGACTCAGACTGCAAGGAATCTGGGTGTGACCCTAGATAACAAACTGTCCTTCACTGCAAACATCGCTGCTACAACCCGCTGCTGCAGATAAACTCTTTACAACATCAGGAGGATACGTCCCCAGCTGACCCAGAAAGAGACGCAGGTTCTGGTCCAGGCTCTCGTCATCTCACGCCTAGACTACTGCAACTCCCTCCTGGCTGGTCTACCTGCATGTGCCATCCGACCTCTGCAGCTCATCCAGAATGCAGCGGCTCGTCTGGTCTTCAACCTTCCTAAATGTTCCCACACCACGCCGCTCCTCCGCTCCCTTCACTGGCTTCCAGTAACTGCTAGAATCCACTTCAAGACACTGGTACTTGCGTACCATGCTGTGAATGGATCTGGCCCTTCCTACATCCAGGACATGGTTAAACCGTACACCCCAGCACGTGCACTCCGCTCTGCATCAG